ACATAATTCAAAGAACACTTTTTTGGATGGCATTTAGAAGGTGTTTCTGGTTTCTGAAACATAGTGCTTAAAACACATAGATGCTAATGCGGAAATAGGCAGTAACATGTTTGAATAGAGGTGCTTGTTTTGGCAAAAAAAGATTAGGATAAATAAGTAATTGAACATATTAAGAAAAAATAAGCCCTTGCCAATAGATTAGAAGTCAAGAGAGATGCTTTTCTCCCGCATAAGCTGTTCTAAAAAACCTGAAAAGCAGTTTGCTTATTATATTACCAAATAAGTAAATTTAATCAGAGAGCTTCAAGTTCTTTACAAACCTAATAAGCTCAGTGGACTACCATCTTCAGTCTAACCAGTCTGCCCCTGGTGCTTGTATCAAACATTTAAAATAGGAACAACCAAGCATGAACGAGAAAACGTCCATGACAAGCACAAAGGGACTTTTTCTCATACATGTATCTGAAGTACGGTTTTACATTTGACTCTTTGCATGCCTAGGCCACTATCCTTCGAATAGCAGATTCACTTTAAGCCTAAAAGTGCAGTAACACAAGTACACTTGACATGATAAAATCCAAGTTAGAAGCTAATACTTCTCTTTCCCTAGCTAATAAATGTAAAAATCAATACTTCGCCTAAGGGAGTCTCCTATTTTCCTTGGCAAGTAAAAATTTGTAGAAGAAGACAGAACAGGTAAAACCCAGGAATAGTAGTACATATGAAAAAAATTTCCATGAACCTACCTGCAAAAAAAGCCTAACCATTAGCAAAATAAATATACTGAGCTTCCCCGACAGATGACCCTAACAAATCATCGTTCCTTTTTCATTCTTTATCTCCTTGAACGAGATTCTATTAGTACCCATTTGGTTGAACTTCAGCTTCTACTGTGCAGTAAAAGGGCAGCCCATGCCCTCCTTTAATTAGCAAATAAGCACATTATTTCTTTAATTTCCCTTACATGTTTGAACAAAAAATAGTAACAGAAGGGAGGGCGAAAGAAAGAAAGACAGTTGTATTAAAGAGAGGATATAATTAGGTCAAAGGGCATTATAGTATATTACACCCTGCGTAATTAATGGTTTGTTTTCTTTTCTATTCTTAAAAACTTGTATATACAAGAATTGTAATATTCAATAAAATACATATTCAGTCATTCTTAACATGGGATCAGAGTTCTAGGTTAAGAAACCCCTAAATTCTTTAAATTCAACCTTTATTGCTTAAATAAGGAAACTCTAAAAGGAGCCAGCCTCTATCGCCGGCCAACACCAGATTGATCATCTCCACCACAGGCCCCCTAGAACCTCATGGCCAGAAGCAGCCAAAAGGTACGGCTCAGTCACCAGTCGCCAGAACTGCACGCCTGTACCTGCACAACCCCAGCCCGACTAGCCTTGCCGCAACTGCGTGCTTAGCTGCCTTGCCTGCACACAGCCAGCCGCGCACACAACTAGCCAAGGCCCCTCCTACCACGCGCATCTTTGTCCAGGTTGTCAAGAGCCGCACTACCGCCTTTTTGCTCAGCCATTCAAGCCGGTGGTTCTGTTCAGAGCACGCAGCCCTGCTACCTACTGGAAACATCCTTCCCATGACCTTATATTTGGCTTTAATTTGTGCTATAACTCTTAGAATATGTCAGAAGTTACATCCCAAAGTACGGGAACAAATTCCCACATGGGAAACCCTACCCAAAATAATAGTGAATTTCAGTAAATCCAAACAAACTACTTATCACTACAGCGGAAAAGACTACTTGAGTTGGACGTAATTAATTTGGATCACCCTTAAGGGAAAAGGAACGCTCAGCCACCTCTTAGGCACTAGATCAAAACCAAGAGACCCAACCTTTGACACATGGGATGAGGAAAATTCAATGATTAAGCATGGCTTTGGAACTCTATGTCGCCATATATAAGTAAAACAGTTATGTTCCTGTCCACAGCCAAATAAGTGTAGGATGCAATCAAAAAAACTTATTTTAAAGTGAAAAATGCAGCTCAATTTTATGATTTGGACGTCAAGACATAATCCATGAAGCAAGAAAACAGGTCAATCATTGATATTCTAATATGCTGAAAGGTTGATGGCAGGAATTAGACCAATACCGGAGCCTTATGATGGACTACAATAGGCATGCAGCCCACCTCAAACAGTTTATGGATAAAGATCAGGCTTATCAGTTTTTAGCATGACTCAACCAGGACTTTGATCAAATAAGGGTCTAGGAGGAAATAGCAACTTCAAATTGTTTTGTTTAGAGAAGAATTAGCAGCATGCAACGATATGCATAAAATTTTCTGCAAATCAATGTCAGACCAAACATTAATCCAACTACTTGAGTTTGCTGCTAAGGAGTCCCGAGCATTTCCATGCCCGAATAATATGAAACCAAACCTATGCTAAGGCCAATTTATTTTTTATGTCAAAACAAAATTTAAGGAAGATATCTTTTAAAAATATAAAGTGTAGTATTAATATGAGCACCAAGGGGATGTCAACCCAGTACAAAAAAATACAAGATATGAAGAAAAGGAAAACTGACCTGCCCACTTATGCTCACCAGATAGTTTACAAAGAGTAGAATGCTCCATGCAGATTCAAACATCACCTTTGCAATCTGGGAAGTCATCTGGACCAGGATGGAACTGCCTATATTGAATATTGTTTCAGCACCACTGTTGTGTCTTGTTTTTTGAGGAACTAGGAATTGTAGATAGCTCTCAATTACATTCAAGACTTTTCCCCAGTAAACAGCTTTTTTAAGCAGCGCATGAAGAGACAACAGCATGTCAACAGAGAATTTTCTCAGAGATCTATGATCTGACAGTTCCTTCTCCCAAGCAATATCAGCACTAAGGTCTGACAAATTATTCAGAGCTAGTGATGAATAATCTCCTGTTTGCAGAATCTTCAGTAGGCGACGGATAATTTCCTCAGATGAAATGCTAGGTGTGCCAAAAAGTGATTCATAAAATATAGCAGAGGAGCTTTTGCCGAATTGTTGGCTTATTCTAGTGATGCATCTAATAACTTCAGTGAGAATCTCATCTTCATCATCAGGTAAATCCACACCAAAGTTTACAGGATCACCAAGTTCATCAGAAGAACCTAGAAAAGAGGTTCAAAAGAAAGTACATTCAAAAAAGGATTGCAAATTTTTTTGCTTTGCTTGCTAAAAAATAGTTGCAATACGAAACGCCACAAACAGCAAGAAAGGAAATTCATTCTGCTCTGCCAAAAAGGAAGAATCCTCTATATACCATCAACAAGCAGTTCAGTTTTTTCCAAGTCACGAAACAAAGACAAAGAATGCTTCCTGATTAAACCAACAACTCCTTCTGAAGACTGGACAAGCAAAGCAAGTGGTTCATTGCTTTTGCACCAGTAATGGAAATACCTAGCACAAAAACTCTTCCACCAGCAAATTGACATGGAACTTTCAGAAAAACCCTGGCAAGGCATAAAAAGAACATCAGCTTTCTTACACCACTATACTCATCGCATCACCACGTGAAGGACAAAGATGAAACATATAGTAAAATAACAAAGAAGCGAGGACCTCATGTTCAACCAGTGAAATGATCTCGGTTTTGAGTCTATCTGCATTTAAGGACTGAAACTCTGAGTCAGTCCAGTGCTTGTTATAATCCAGCAACGTTGCCCGTAGAACATTATTATTATAAACTCCTGGAAGAAAAAGCCTGCGTAAGAAAATAGAAGATACAAATGGCATGATTTGTTCCTGCAAAACCATAAAAATGTTGTTAGCCAACATATATTTTTATCAGAAAAAATTCCATATGATTATGAAAAAAATCATTAACGGAAGAAAGCATGAAAAGGGCACCAATTATAGGAAAAGAAATGCATTTCACTAGAGTACAACTCTGTATTTTTACTTCACAGTTTCAACCCTGTATTTTAACTAAATCAAAACAACCTTCTCATTTACTCAATCATGATATATCTAGACAACATTTCACAAGTCACATGTACAGGTGCCTCAGCTGCAATCACATTACTTGTTACTGAGAACCAATTGGTCATTCATGTTTTTTGTTATTGATTTGATAATTAAAACTCTCACCAAATAAATCGTGACATAACTGCACACGAAGTGTTCACATGAATTACATGTCTAGGAGAACTGAGGAAATGTCACTGTCATTAAGCCAATAAAGGTAAGTTCTAATCAGGAATCCCCATCTAACCTCATGGAACAAATTGGATTTTGGGTAAAGCAGCGAGAGATGAGAGGAGTTTAGGATAGACCAACCCCTAGGACGTATACCCGAAGGAGGAAAACAATAGAGAAGGGGATTTTGGTGTCATGGTAGACGTGATGTGCATGTCCAACTCTCTTTCTGTTCCAAGTTCTTATTTGCCAGCAGCTTATATTCTTCTCCAGCAACAAATTTTTGCTTACCGGCCGTATCTCTCCTTATCTCTCTCTCGATTTTCTTTCTTACTTCTATAGAAGACAAACTTTAACCTAGGTCACATTGCCGTCCATTCTCCTTGAGGGCTGCTACGAAAGTAGGTCAGAAAAGTAAAAGGGGCGGGATTTAGAAAGGGTCCGCTGGCCCTGGCCAGCTAGGAGGGGTGAATGACGTCAATTTGGAAACAGTTCTTCCTGGTAGATCATAAATCCTTTGATGTAATCAGTGAAGGAAGGGAGAAAGAAGTGATCCACATATGTGAGAACAGGAGGGGATTTAGAGTTTCGATCACACTGGTTGACAAGGATGTGGGTGGCCCATTGATGTCTTTGCCGATTTTTACTAGAGAAAAGGGGGGGGGGAGAACTTGGGGTAAACAGTTGGTTGGGGAAGATCACAATCTCTTTATCGTGGTGGGAAAGAACAGATTTGGAAGGTACCTTGTACTGACTGAGATGAGAGGAAAAGACAGAAAGCAAATTCTATACCTGAGGGCATCAAGGCTAGGGGATGGTGAAAAATGATGAAAGTTGTGTACAAGTTGATGAGACAGCCACTGACGAACCCAGATAAGGAGACTGAGGTGGAAGGAGGTAACAAGATAGAAGTTGAGATTAAAACAATTAAGCAGTGAAGTGCTTGGTTACCATGCCCGCATTATGGCACCATCCTCAAAATCTTGGTGGAAGTGGAGTGCAAACAATCCTTCGCAGATTTGATTGGAGATGGAAAGATTGATTGGAGTCGGGTAAGGAAGACAGGATCCAAGAAGCAGATGGGTCGGGAAAATTTCAAAATTCAAAAAGAAGCCTGTGGAAGTCACGTGATGGATGAAGGGAAGGAAGCTATGGTTGGGCTGGCAGGTGGTGGGCCAAAGAAAGGAAGGAATATTGACCATATGGAAGAAGATTTTGTTGGACAGGCAGGGTTTCATGAGTTATACAAGGTGGTATGTTGGTAAATGGGATAAGATAAGGTTTTGGGATGATGAATGGATTGGTAATTTCATAATAAAAGACAGATTTCAGAGAACTTTCCCCATTGCACAAAATAGAAACATGTTTATGGAAGAGGCTTACTTTGTCAGTGGGGTGGACAGAGTGTGAAATGTGCAGGTTACCAGAAATTTGAATGATTGGGAGGTGGATGACTACCAACAAGTAATGCTTATTGTGTCCCAAGCCAATCTAGGCAACTAGCCAGACCTTAGGTCATGGACTCTTGAAAAAAAAGGTTTATTCTCTGTGAAATCCTTCTACTGGCAGCTGAATAATGGTGAGGATAGAACTCTTCTCGTTTTTCCATTCAAACAGATTTGGAAGATAAAAGGTCCTCCAAGAATGGCGTTTTTACAAGGGAAGCATGCAAGGGAAGTATTCTGATGATTGACATGTTGATGAGAAGGCGCAGATGCATGGTTAAATCAATGTTTCATGTGTAAATTGGATGCAGAAACGTGTAATCATTTACTATTGTGGTGCCCAATGGTGAAATGTAAATGCATTGTACAAGGGTAGGTACCTCCTTGGTATCGATGTTTATAACATATACTACATTTTTATTTTTATTTTTTTAAAAAAAAAGTAAATTTGGTGGATGTTCATAGTGTATTGGATACCCGATTTAGGTAACAGGTAGTTCTTCCTTCTCTAAGAGCTTCGCAGGGGCTTTTAATTATACGGATACTAGGGCAACCAGGAAGGTAGATATACTAGAAGGAAATTTCTCATTGTCCTCGTTCTAGCTTTAGGGACTTACCATTATCTAATGCCCAATTTACATGGTTAGTCAATAGACAGGGAGTAGTTTCCTCTCTACTGGACCGCTTTCTGGTCTCATCACAATGGCAGGATAGTTTTCCAAATCCGGTGCAAGAGGTGATTCCTAGACCTGTCTCTAACCATTTTTCAGTCTTCCTTGAATCCCAACAGGTAAGTTGGAGCCACACCCGTTTCAGGTTTGAAAATATGTGGCTGCATCACCCAGGCTTCAAAGATGTGGTTAGAGAAAGGTGGATAGATAAGAATGACAACAGGCTGGGAGGGATTTAAACTCAAACACAAATTTAAAAATTTGAAAGAAAACATTAAAAAGTGGAACAAAGATGCATTCGAGAATGTGTTCTTAAAGAAGGTAGGCACTTTAGAAGAAATGAAACATCTTGATAAATTAGAGGTGGAGGGCACCATCTCTGTTGATCAAACTAGGAGACTTGCAGATCTCAAGGATGAGTTTGAAGTGTGTTGATTAACGGAAAAAGAACTTGGAGACAGAGGACAAAGTTAAAATGGGTTAAGGAGGCGGAGATGCCAATACTCGCCTTTTTCATAGGATGGTTAATGGTCGTCCGAGGAAGAGTATCATTAAAGGAATTAGTTCTTGATAACAATCAGAAGGTTAAAAAAAGGGAGGATGTTGGTAGGAAGATCAAAAAGTTTTTTCAGGGATTGTACTCGGAAGATAAATAACCAGAGGTCTTTCATTGAAGGCTTAGATTGGGAATTGATACGTTTTGACATGGCTAGAGGATGGGAAGACCATTTGAAAATGAGATTACGGGGGCCTATGTGGACTTTGCACAGTGATAAGGCACCAAGCTCCGATTGTTTCATTGTATGGTTCTTCAAGAATTGTTGGAAGTGGTGAAAAGGAACTTGATCAAAATTTTTGAGGAATTATTTTCTTAATGGAAAAATTTGCAAGAGTACTAATTCAAAATTTATCACCTTAATCCCGAAAAAAGATAAGCCCAGGAAGGTGTCTAATTATAGACCTATAAGTCTAGTGAGTAGTATCTATAAGATCTGTCCACCCCCTACAAATGTATATGATTTCCAGTCATCAGAGTACATTTGTAGGGGGTGGACAGATCTTAGATGCATTTCTAGTAGTAAATGAAGTTGTAGAATACACTAGAAGATCTAAAAGGAAATGATTAATCCTGACACTTGACTTCGAGAAGGCTTATGATCGAGTGAATTGGAGATTCCTAGATAGGCTATTGGAGCGAAAAAGTTTTGGGATAGATGGAGAAAATGGATATAGGGATGCTTGAGTTCTTTCTATTTTGCAGTAATTGTCAACAAGAAACCATAGAACTGGGTTAAGACTATCAAAGATTTGAGACGAGGGGATTCTCTATTCCCTTTTTTATTCATTATTGTTGACATTTTGAGCAAAATGCTCTCAAAAGATGAGAGAAGGGAATGCGTGAAGGTCTTGAGAGTTGGTGATAAAAATGTTGAGGTGTCACACATCCAGTTTGTGGATGATACAATCATTTTCCTACAACATGACAGCCAATCCATCTTAGGATTCTTATTCTTATTCAGGTATTCAGGCTTAAAGATAACCTGGGCAAGCGTGGCTTAATAAGGATCAATATAGGTTAGGTTTTGATGAATAGATTAATGACATTTTAAGTCGGAGTGGCCTATTAGCTACCTAGGGGTTCCCCCAACAGTAACCTGAGCTATAGGCGGTTTTTGGGAGAGGATAGAGAATAATATTGCTAGGAGGCTAGAGAGTTGGAAGAATAGTCTCTTCACCTTAGCAGAAGTGTCACATTGATTAAAGCGTGTCCTTCTAGCATTCCACTTTACTATTTATTCCTGTTTATGTTTAAAATGCATGGAGGGTAGTTGATAGGATTGAGAGTCACATGAGAAAATTCTTATGGTCTGGGATTAGGGATGAGTCTAAGGACCATCTAGTAAGTTGGCATATGTGTATCAGATGATTGGGGATAGAGTCGTTAAAAGCATCCACAAGAGCAGCAGAATTGGATGCGATGTCATTGCTCAAAGGTATGCCTCTCACCGAAGCCCTTAGAAAGCCATCTCACAAGTGTACCCTATATTCCTTTCTCATACCCGTCTACAAGTGGGAAATGGCTGCACGTTGAGATCTTGGGAGCTTGTTGGTTGGGTAACCAATCAATAGCCTCTAAATTTCCAAGGATACATAGGCTCTCTTCAAGATGTAATGCCCCTAAATCTCAACTCGCAACAATGCTAGGCAGGATGTCTTGGAATTTCTATTTCTCTAAAAACCTTTTGAATAGGGAGACCATTGATACGTACACCCTTTTGGATTTATGGGTATCTCCATTTCCCCCCAACCTGACAAAAGACTCTGGAACCTGAAAACCTCAGGCCTATTTTCTTGCTAATCCCTCTTTGAACACTTCACTTAAAACCCCACCGACACACATATCAATGTTGCTAAGGGATTTTGAAAAGCTTATACCCCTTCTAATGTGAAGTGCTTTGCTTGGACAGCAAGTCATCAAAGGCTTAAGACAAACGCCTTATTCCAAGTCCACTGTCCTAGTGCCTTTTCTCCTAACATGTGTGTGATGTGTTTGAGAGGTGGGGAAACTCATGCACGTTTGCTCCTTCATTGTAATATGGCTTGGAGGCTGTGGACTGATGTACTTAAGATGTTCGGGTGTTATTGGTTTTGCCTCCAAATGTTGAATGCTTCTTCTGTATGTTTATTGAAGGGAATGGGATTAGGAAGGCAGACAAACCTCTTTGGCAAGGGATTATCTTTGCAACTCGTAGAAGCATTTGCTGGTGTCTAATTCAATTATTTTTAGCAACGGGAAGCCCTCATATTTCAAGTTGTGGGAGGAGCCAACTATATTGGCCACTTTATGGGCCAAAGGGCACGGTCATTTTCCTGATATTTCTTTTACCGACCTCCACTCTCAATGGGATATTTTCATAGACGTATATAGCTTCTTTGCCAAAGGCTATTTAGTTTCTTTTTCTTTTTTGTCCTTTTTTCTAGTTGTTTGGCTTTGGGCCTTCTTTCTCTTCCCTGCTTATTGGGGTTTCTGGTATCTTTCTTCTCTTTGTTGGGTTGTACTTCTCTCTTTTTTCAATAAAATCTTCTTTTATCCAAAAAAAAAGAAACTTCAACTACAAGCTTGAGATTCTTGCAATTGGAAGTGTTAGGTGACAAAGCAAGAAATAAAGGGTGAATAAAATTTTCAAACCCCGAAATGACTATGACAAACAAAAGAACAGAAAACTAGCTTTATTATGCTATTCTGATGCCAAAATATTTGTAACTAAGACGTTAGAGAAAAGATCTAGTCAATGGGTTAGTGAACAATTAGAAGTTTCCAATCACTATTAACAAAAGTAAAAAAAAAATGACCAGTTCTAAAATCCCTAGCCACTTTCCCTGGTTGGATACAATAGACAATTATACATCTTGATTGACCTCAAAGACAATGTTAGAGCATTTCAGAAAGATAGCATAACTTCATTTTTTATATTCATCAATTGAACTTAATCACAAGTAGATGAACATCCAGAACTTCCAGAGAAGTTATTTGAAACCAATCCTAATGAAGCTTGATAATGTTTTTCTGACAATTCATTATTTTAGTGCTTAAATAAAACCTCATTAGAAAAGCAGTTCAATCCTTCTAATAAATATATAAAAAATTAACCTACGCTCCTCAAAGAAGGACAATAATTAGTCCATGAAGTCTCCAGAAATATTTTCCTATAACTAAAGCTAACACGTTGACAAGCTACAGATGTCATTCTAAGATACAAGTATAGGTTTTCAAAGTAAAGAATCGTGGCTATAATTCTATATGAACTCATTAAAGTGTTTGTGATTTATCCTGGAAGATTTTATTGCAAGTACTGACAAAGTTAAAATACGAAACTATAAAATATATGAAATGACAGCCTATACTTGTTCAGGAAAAAAATGAATGCCAAATAATGACCAATACAAGGCCTGCAACACATCCCCCAACAACATACAGTTGGAAACCACAATGAATCAAAATTAAAATTCAAAATTTCTATAAAAAATGAAATTTGAAGATCAAAGTAAATCAATTACACAAAAGCTAAGCAACAACGACAAAGAAAGATAAAGTCAAAATGACGTTTTTATGCAACGAAAACAACATACTAACAACACCTTTGCAGATGAGAAAATTGAATGCATGATCAAAAGAAGATCATCTGAAGAATGCTCAAAACTTTGAAATAGCTGATCAGCGACAAAATCCTCTTGCAAAGCATAGCACCGTGCTTCCTCCCTATCAAAGAGTCCATGCACAAATAATTGTAAGCCATCAAGAAAAAAAGTGAAGAGATTTATGCATAGAAGCTTGTCTAGATCCCTATACATGCAGCAACAAGTCATTATTTTGTGATGCAGAATGCATTTATCCTATATCTATTAAGCAGATAATCTAGAGCTAATATATTAGGATCTATTATTACAATTTTAGTAGTATCATTATCTATACTTTAAAAAATTCATAGCCTTATCTTCTTTGGGAAAGGTAATTAGATAGCAATAAAAATGCGGGCATAATCTGAATCAATGACACATATTATACTTTTTATCTAAAAAAATTCCTGCATAATCTCACTTTTGACAGCAGTCCAATTAGTAAAAAAAAATCCTTTTGAGATTTTTCTCATTCTTTCTTGTTGTGAGATGCAATTAGCCTAATGACACGTAAGAAACCTTCTCTTAGGAATCATGTCTGGGAAATTTTGGTGCAATATCAATTTTTATCTCAAATCTCAAGTAAACAAATTAGCCCTAATTTGTTCCAATCAATTGGTATCAAAGCAGAAATTCCAACACCCACAAAATCTCAAATCCGGTTAAAACAGATCCTATCATTTGAGGGAAAAAAATAAAATAAAAAACCAGAAAACACAACCCTAAACATCTATTAGATGTCAGTTGCGAAACACCCACAACCAATCGGTAATAATTGACACCAGACCCACTAACAGCTTCATACCACATTGACCAGCCTCTACCCTAAGCTCTGGCCTAAATCTGAAGGGAAACGCACCACACCCTGCTATAAATCTGCCTACCCGCTGAATTACCATATCAACAAATTCATGGCTATAAGGCATCACACTGATGCTCCATGTGCAACCACCTCTTCAAGCTTAAGTCTTGTGCTGGAAGACCGATGTCCTCCACTAACTGCAGATCGGCAACGAATATGTGTGCCCCACAAGTACACCCTTACAAATCTGCTCTATTTTGGTTGTTCTCAAACCAGGTTTGACCAAACATGTTCGAAACTGATTCAGCCTCACCCTTAGTGATTTTGCACCTGTCCAGAGTGCTCTTCTAAAAAGAAAATCTAAGAGAAGAAATTGATAAATCCTGAATTTTCGGATACGTAGAATGTTGGCAAAGAAATTGAGTGATCTTCCTTAAAGTATATTTAATTAGTTAAAAGGGACAGAAAATTGCATTCTCTAACTTTTCAAACTTTAGTCAATTGTGAGAATAAAAGTAATAGGCTTGTAATTCACGAGAGGATTTTTATATAAACAAGTCCATTTCCAATACAACCACATCCATACCAATTCATAAATTATCCTAAGTACACAAATTTGACAAGAACTAGGCGATCTAGAATAACCTTGTCATTCCCTATGGTACAAGGTGACAGGATATTCATGGTATGCACAGGAACAGATCGGATTCTATTGCCAAAATTTCACTACTCAAAAAAAGGCCCCGGAAAGTTATTTTTTTATCTCTTTCATCTTCATCCTGTCTCATAGTGGAGAAGACTGCAGCATCTTGTTTCTGAAAGATCTTTGGCTTGTTGATACCCTTAGCCAACTGATTTCCTCATTTCTATGATCTTTTTCTTCTCATAATGCCCCTATTCAAAACTTCTTTAATCATTTTGATGGGCATTCTCACGGAGCTTATACTTTTTTTGGAAACTTTAACAATCAGGAGACCATTGATAGCTTACCCTTCATAAGTTTACCACAGACTGTCCACTTTCTCACAAGGTTAATACCAAAATTTGGATTTTAGTTTAGACTCTTCCGAAAACCTACACGAATAACCTTATTTGTTAGAATACTTCCTTCCCCAATTTCTAAATTAAAAATTCTCTCTAAGATTAGGATTTTTTTTTCCTGAACCAATGTTCTCAACAAGCTTCAAACAAATGATTTGTTGCAAGCCCAAAGGCATAATCATGTTCTCTAATTACATGATTTGGGAGGGAGGAGAGCCACAATCACCTCTTCCTCACAATGATGTGGCTGAAAACTACGAAGTATGTTGTTTAATATCTTTGAGTTGGTGTTGATAGCTCACTTTCTATTGAATGTTTCATTAATTCATACTTGAACAGGGAGAGAGTGAAAAAAGATGCTAAAAAGCCTTTGGAAAGGAACCTTGATTGCAGATTTTTGGGTGTTGTTGTTGGAGCGCAATCGTACAATTTTAGAAAATCGCTACTTTTCCAATTTCTTTGGGATAGAGTGGTCTTCTTGACCACTTTATGGGCTAAGGCTGATGGAAAGTTTAAAGATATTTTTTTATCTATGTTACATAGAAATTGGGGATGACTGTGTGTTGACCTTGTTTTGTCGTTTTAGCTGCTTTGACTTCTGCTTTTCAGAGGCTTTTAGAGGATGTCTTATCCTCTGTTTTTGTATTTTTTTCCTGTCCTCTATTCTAATAACATTTCTTCTTGTATCAGAAAATACTAGTATTTATATACTTGGACATTTCTTGGTCTAATTAATTTGGGAAATATTACTTAGGAAGCACCAAAAATTTTCTTAAGGACAGTTTTCTTAAGTGTGATGCCCAATAAATATTAGATGTCATAACTATGTTTAGCTCAAATCTCCCACTAGGCATATTATCCTAATTTTTCCTCCACTTCTTTTTTCTTCTTCTAGTTTTTTATTTCAAAAAAAAAAATTATCCTCCATATTTTCTAAGAAACCTTAGAATCATTTCTAGGTATAGCATAAATCTTTGAGTAGTCAAACTAAACCTCATTTGTTCTATAATTCTAGTCAACTTATTACTTGAATTAAAACTATCATCAAAATCTTTGCTGGTGTCAAACAAAGTGCACCAGCATAGATCAAAAAGTAAGCAAATGTGTGACAACTTACTTAGCAGCATTCATACAAGATAACTTGTGAAATACTAGCCCATTATCCTTCAATATCCATATCTTGTCATAAGCAACTTTGACATCAATGTGGGCCCCCTAAATATCAGAACATAAGCAAATACAGTCAAATGAAAAAAAAAGTATATATATAAGAAAAATAAAAGAAATGGAAAATGAAAACACCAGTGTTTTGCCAAAAAAAAAGAATATGCATATTATTACCTCTTCCAAACTGATAGTTTGCATTGTGGACTCCAGCGACAAAGTCATCCTGTCGCCAAAACTAGAATGGAGACTATAGACACTGATCATATCAATGCTACCTTCCTTCAAAAGTCGGAAATGCAAATCAAACAGCAATAGTGAGAACATTCTTAATGGAACAAGAAATACTATTAAGGAGAAAAATTGAAAGAACACGACTCAGGACAAGACATCCTCCTGAAAACTAAGAAAACGAAAAAGAAACCCAATCCCTTTGCAGGTTAGATAAAAAGATATCCTAAAAAAGCCATAAGCCTTGGCCCATAAAGCAGCTAAAAAGGCTAATCTATTCCAAGAAAACGCAAAAGAAACCCAATCCCTTTGCAGGTTAGATAAAGAGATATCCTAAAAAAGCCATAAGCCTTGGCCCATAAAGCAGCTAAAAAGGCTAATCTATCCCAAGAAAAGGAAAGAGGGTTAAATCAGTCCTTTAAGATCCTAGTGTTCCCCTCCAACCACATAAAGAACACAGTTCAGGCTCAGTTATCAATAAAGAAAACTTTTTGAATAAAATCATTAAACAAAACTAAAAAGACTCTCCAGTTCAACTTAGCATTTATCTGTTGATTATCTATTGAAACCATTGATCCATACAACTGTTATGTTTTTTCTTCTGAAAGAAAAAGATTGAACATATAGCAAGGGGCAGAAAGGGGCTACGATGCATGTAAAAAGAGGAAATATTTAAAACTGATCACAATATCAACAAGGTCTCCTCATTTTTCTTAATAGAAAATAAGATCTTCTTAATACTCGTCGTAAACAAGGGACAAACCCTTAGACAAAGAACACAGGTTTTGGAGTCATAAATCTCTCAACACTACCAAGAGAAGATGACACGTCTCCAAAAGACTCCTATTCCTCTCTTACCGAAGCATCTAGAAAGTAGCCAAGGGGATTTTTTTTTTTTGAAATAAAAAGTGTAAGTAGATTAATGAAGGCACCAAGGTAGTGCCGTCCATATACAAAAAATTTACAAGTGGTCAGTAAGAATATCTACAAAGACCGCAAAATCTTCAGAACTATAAAAATCATGTCCCAAAACCATTAAGCCAAAAAAGTGTAACCATATATCTCTAATTTTGACAAATGGTTCTTCTTTTCCCACGAAAGTCCTATTGCTTCTTTCTTTCCAACTAATCCACATTATGGATAAAGGGATGAGACAGGATACACCATTATCGTTCCTCAGTCCCTCCCACGCTAATAATTCAGATCTAACCGTCCCAGCCATTACCCAGGCTGATGCCAAGAAGATTAAAAATAGAACACCATAGGCTGAAGGTGAAAGGAGACCCAATCAGACTGTAGTTACTGGACTCAGCATTGCACTTGCAAAGAAACAACTGTTCACAAGGATCTTACCACGTTTCATCAGATTATCCACAGTCAAAATTCCTTCTTTTACCGCTTCACAAGCGAAAAAAGAGAAACGAGTCGGTGCTTTTGAATTCCACACAGTTTTAGTAGGAAAAATATTGTGGTTCGTCCTGTTGTTACTCACCAAGTGATTGTAGAAGGATTTAACAGAGAAATTACCATTTTTCTTTAACTTCCAGGTGAGTTGGTCAGGGTTGCTGTTGAGTTTGACAGTGTCAAGAAGCTGTAGAAGGTCAATATATTCTCTGATTTCCCAATCTTGAAAGGTGTCTAGAAACAATCACAGACCAAATGCCATCACTGAAAGCATCCTTAACAGAAATGTGTTTGTTTTGGGCGAGAGCATAAATTTTTGGGAACTTGATCATAAGACTAACTGAACCGCACCAAGTATTGTTCCAAAAACTGGTTCTATTACCACAACCCATCAGCTAATTAGTGCAAGCAAAGACATCATTTTGTTGAAGCTGAACACTTTTCCAAAACCCATACCATGCTTTCTGCGATTGCAGGAACTGTCTGTGATTCCCAATCTTGAAAGGTGTCTAGAAACAATCACAGACCAAATGCCATCACCGAAAGCATCCTTAACAGAAATGTGTTTGTTTTGGGCGAGAGCATAAATTTTTGGGAACTTGATCATAAGACTAACTGAACCACACCAAGTATCGTTCCAAAAACTGGTTCTATTACCACAACCCATCAACTAATTAGTGCAAGCAAAGACATCATTTTGTTGAAGCTGAACACTTTTCCAAAACCCATACCATGCTTTCTGCAATTGCAGGAACTGTCTGTGATTCCCTCTCTGTTACCCCTGCCCCATTTGGTCTCAATAATCTTCTTCAATAAGTCGTCATCTTCAGTTCAATATCTCCAAATCCATTTACCCAGAAGAGATCTGTTCAGCTCTTTAAGTGATCTTAGACTGTGACAACCAGCTTTTAACGGGCGTTTCACTTCCTCCCACTAAACCAGGTGGTATTTCTTCTTTTCATTGTTATCCCCCCAAAGGAAATCACACTGAATGGTCTCTAGTTTCTTTGCAACCTTAGAGGGGATGGTACGCACTGACATGTAATAAATGGGAATGTTGGAAAGAGTGCTTTTTATCAAAGTTGATCTCCCACCTTTAGAGAGAAAATTCTTTTTTCTAACCAGCAAGTCTATTCGCAAAAATTTTGATAATTGGGTCCCAAGTTCATGCATCCTAGTACTTAGCGCCTAAGAGGAGACCAAGGTATTTGATAGGCAAGTGTGCTGCAATGCAACCCAAAACCTATGCAAGAGTGGACTCATCAATACCATTTCCAATTCTCACCAATTCTTATTTGTGCATATTGATTTTTAACCCTGAGACCGCTTGGAAGCAAAACAAAGTGCAGTGCAAGTTAAGCAGTCTGGTGATCTCAGGCTGACAGAAGATAAGGGTGTCATCCGCGAAGAATAAATGAGATATTTCAGTTTGTGACCTGCTGCCACCAGAAATTATGCCTTTAATCATACCCACTTCCTTGGCTTGTTCCAAAAGGCGATTTAAGGCCTCCATAACGATAATAAACAGGAGAAGGGAGAGCAGGTCACCTTGCCTTAGCCCCCCTGGAGGCCTTAAAGAAGGATGAAGGTCCTCCATTGACAATGACAGCAAAGCTAGAGGTTAAAATGCAGCTTCTGATCCACTTCCTCCATTTCCAGCCAAAACCCATTCTGTTCAGCAAATAATCAAGGAAATTCCAACAAACATTGTCAAAAGCCTTCTCCATGTCTAATTTGCATATAACGTCATCCCTTTTATTATTAATTATATCATCCACAACTTCATTAGCTATCAAAATGGCAACCGTAATCTGTCTCCCACCGACAAAAGCATGTTGGCAGCAACTAATAATTTGGCCCAAGATAGCGGACAGTTGTTTGGCGAGCACCTTTGAAAGAAACTTGTGTATACAACCAACTAAATTGATCGATCTAAAATCCCTGACATTATGGGCACCTTCTTTTTTTGGAATCATGACTAAGAAAGTGGAGTTGAGTGCTTTAACAAAAGAACCAGATTGATGGAATACATTGAACAGATCAACCACAACCGATTTGATAATTTACCAGTATTCTTACATAAGTTTCATGTTGAAACCGTATGGCCATGGGGCCTTATCCCCATTACACTCCCTAAGACAGCAAAATATTTCCTTATTAGTAAATGGCGCTTCAAGTTGTTTGCTAGCCTCCTCATCCAAACTCTTAAACTGTATGTCATCTAATTTGGGTCTTTTGTTGAAGTCTTTGTTGTACAAAGTCTAGAAGAAACCTTTTGCAGCTTCTCTGATATTATCATTGCCGAAAGTGCAATCAGAACCAATAACTATGTCTTCAACATAATTAGATCTTCGTCTTTGGTTTGTCAAACATTGAAAGTATCTAGTGTTCTTATCCCCGTCTTTCAACCACTTTTCTCTTACTTTCTGCTTCCAAGATATAGCCTCCAAATTAAGTTTGTGAGCAAGCTCAAGTCTAATGTTGTTCCTTTTCTCAGTATCATCAATTGTAAGACCCCCCTCACCCTCCAGCAAGTCAAAATCATCCAGCTCAGTCATTAAATCATTGATGTTACCAAACTCTTTCATTCCAATCTCACGAGTCCATTTTTTCACCTCATCTTTCAATAATTTTAGTTTTTCAACAATTCTATAGCTAGCGGTACCATCGATGTTGCTGATAGTCTAAATTCTCGTGACCATAAATCTAAAGCTGCCAAATTTAATCCATTTATTCTCAAGCCAAAAAGGAACCAGTCCCCAACGGATCCATCAGCAACCAAACAGATAGGAAAATTATCAGAGATTTGACGAGAGAGAACCTTTTGACATAGATCTGGAACAATAAGAATAAGGTCTGTAGCAACCAGGAAGCAAACAATCAATGCGGGAGAAGGAAAGCGAGTTTCTTTGGTTGCTCCAGGTCCATTTACTCCCCATAGGCGGCAGATCGGCCAATTCTACAATAAAAATCTTGTCTTGGAAATCTTGCGCACAGGAAGTGGAGAACTCATCACCCAATCTTTTTGTTCGGCTTAAAATCATATTAAAATCACCCCCAATAATACCTTGTTTCCCCAATCTCATTTGACAGTAGGCCAGTTCTCTCCAAAGACAAGCACACTCAACAATAGTACCTCTACAGTAGACCCCCACAAAGAACCATTCTTCTAAACTACTTTTGTTGACGAAGAGGCATGAAAGGGTTATAGTGTCAGCGTCAACATCTTAAAAAATAATTTTTCCCTTATTCCAAATCACCATAACGCCCCTAGCGGTGCCATTTGCAGCATTGAAATGCCAACCCAAGTCATGAGTACCATAAGCTCTTGATAATTCTCATGTCTACATCTTCCATTTTCATTTCCTGGAGACAGATCAGAGTGGGCTTCCATCTTTTCAAAACAACCCTTGATAACGTTCTTTTTCTTCACATCATTCAAACCCCGTACTTCCACGATATAATTTTCTCAAACATTTATAATAGATTTGTTTTTTGAATCTCCCACCTTCGTAACACTCTGGCTTTTCCCTTTGTAGTTAATGGATGATGTAGTCCCATTAGTTCTCTCGACCTACCATCCCCATGTTTTTCTTGGTTTTCCCAGCCGAATCTTCAGTCTTCTTCTCCTCCCGTATTCTCTTTTCAATCTCAAATAACAAACTCATAGGCTGATCTTTGAAATCTTAAACAACACCCCAAGGGACTTACTGATCCTTTGGATGTTTTTGAGAACCCATTTCGAGTATATTTGATCATCACTCAACGAAAACATCATCTCCACCATGAATAATATAGACAAGGTCAGGATTACAAGGCAAGATACAGTCACATACCTGAAAAAACCAACACCAATGCAAGACCCGTCGGGGCATTGTCATGAGCTTCAAGCATGTCTCCCGACTTTGGACTACCAGGATAAGAGGTCTCAATGGTTTCCAATGCGTTCTCATCCTCACCATGGGGCTCCATGGCAGCTTCTTTCGAAAACCCTAAAAGGCTCTCCTAGCTATTCGTTTTGCCCTTTATGTCCTCGGCAGAGTTAAATGTATCTCCCGACTGAGAGAGCCCTTCAATTACAACATCAAATGGCACTGTTTGAGTTTTCTTTTCTAGGCATCAAGTCCACTTGAAACCAGGACTTTTTTATCTTAAATTCCCTGCTCAGTCCAACCTAATCAGTCCGCTTCCCTTTCTCTAGCCAAGAGAACCTCTTGGTTGGGTCCGTCAACATTGTGCTGATACATTTTTTCTAAGCGACAAGAGCGGGATTGGTCGGCCCCCTCAGCTAACTGCGGCATTAGAACCCCTTGCTTCCTTCCGAGTTGAACAGTGGTGCGGTTAATCAGCGAGGGAAATGGAGGTGGGTGATGGAAAAGGAGAGGTGTTCGAGGAGAGGGAGAAAGAGAGAGAAAGAGAGTTTAGAGAGTCTAGAAAGAAAGAATTTTTAGCTGACTGTAGCTAAGGGGATAAGAGAAATAAGTTTTGTCCTCTTATATTTCAAAAATAAAATTGTCCTTCTCTTATCATGTAGGACACCTGCCAGACATGAGCCTCATCTGCAATAAAGCCTACCATCATCCAATTCAGTTCCAGGAACTCAATAATTGTGTACAAAAGCAAGAGGAGAAGGGGCATCACAAGAGAAGGTGGACTAGAAATTCTGCAGCTCTCTTACATATATAGCACCCACTAACTAAAACATTTTCTCTTTGATCACCAATGGAAAGAAAGGAGGGGTCTCAATACTAACTGGGTCATGACGGGAGAAGGAAGAGAAAAAAATTATAAAATTTCACCGAGAAAGAACCGCTAGAACGCCATTTATAAATTGGTACATCATCATCACAAAGGGAAACAAATTTCTCAGAGAGAATGTGATGAATAAATCAAGCATACTTGCCCACCTCCCAATCATTAAATTTCTTACTAATCTCCCCATCCAAAACCACATAACCAATTAAGACAAAAACAAGGTAACACAGTGGAAGCCTCCTTTCCTAGTAGGAGGAAGCACGATAAGAAAACATTGTTTCAAAACACCACCACCACGCCACTCATTAGTCTAGAACTGGCCTCTCCAACCATATACTATTCTAAACCCACAACTTTGCATCAACAGACCCACTAGCTTGCCACCTGAGATTGAGAAGATTGAGGATAGTATAGAGTAGCGTTCTAGCTTCAAGCCACCAAAAAAGCAAACGATCAAAGGATTCGTTCGTCATTTTCATTCATATATGGATAATACCTAACGACCATAAATCTTCCCCCCTCTATTAAGTTGTGATGATTAGAACCCTATACCAAGCCACTTCCTAAGCAAAATTAGCTACCAGGGTGAAGCCTTTCTCTAGGGAGGCGATTAATGATACATTAAGTTTGAGCGCATATACTTATTAAACAAAAAACCCAAACAACATAACATCCACAATTTAGCTCATTCTCTACGATATGTTAGGATGGAAAAAATAGAACAGTAAAAAAAATGCAAAAATGAGACTCAATTCATCGAACATATGAACTAGTTCCTTCTTATGCCTCATGGCTACCAAGCATAGTGGTAAAACTTTCCGCTTACATCCTCATTTTGAAAACAATCAAAAAACATAGTAAATCATTTATTTCAGAGATGCATACCATTGTTCTTTTATACAAGGCTGCCAAAGGAATAACCCCAGAATCACAATCAACTTCACCCACCCATAACCTTAAATATGAAGCCCCTGAAAAGAAGAGACCAAAAAACACAAGAAGTTCAAGTTAACTTTAAACTAATAAGAGAGCTAATAACAACATAACAAGCATGTCGTATAAACACAATAGTAATAGTACAACTGTTCAAAAAACAATCTTCCAAATCTAGAATGCGCTTGTTAATCTTTTCTTCAGATTCTTGGTGGGGGGGCAAAGGCAACACAGAAGCCTCAAGAGGCAATATGAGGTACTTGGTTTATTTTGGACATTCATATCATGAAAGTCAAAACTTTAAGAGTTGAGAGAAACAGCAAAGGGCTAATACCAAATAAAAACAAAAAACACAATTACATAAAGTTTTAGTAAATTAACATGTTAAGAGATAAAATTCACTAACATATTAGGGTTTCGAGACTTGTTGCTCCCTAGAAAATATTTTGGTGCTAAATTCAAATTTGGGATCCTATCATTAGCAACATGGAGAAGAATCATCTTGTTGGAAGAAAATTTATCTTCCCAAAGGAGGCTCTTATTAAAAACACCCTCTCCAATTTACTCACCTATTACCTCTCTCTGTCCTATGCCTGCCAATGTCATCAAGAGTTGGAATCACTGCAATTCCATTTTCTTTGGGAAGGACTCCAAAGAGCAAGCGTGTTCCCATCTTATGGCTTGGGATATTGCCAAAACACTGATATGGTGGGAGGTTTTTCCATAACATCTTTGCTTGCTATGAATCACTGCAATATCATTTTTTTTTTTGTTGTGTGTGGAAGAATAGAATGTTTTTCTCATTGAATATCAGGGCCTTATATATATAGGTGAATAGTAATAATAAAAGGAAACAATATTAATTACAAAAATCACAAAAATTATGATATATTACTAATATACCTTTTACGCTAGTGCAATCCTAATGTACACTTCTTAACACTCTCCAAATATCCATTTCACTAGCTTGGCAATAATCTCTGAAATACAGGATTGTTTAATCCTTTGGTTTATATATCAGCAAGTTGCGAAGTGGTAGACATATAAGGAGTATATATCAACCAACTATCGAGATTTTCCTTGATAAAGTATCTGTCTAGTTCAATGTATTTAGTTATGTCATATTGTGCATATTGTGAGCAATGGTATTTTTTTTTTTTTTGCAGATAAAAATAGTGTGTATATTATGTATATGACACCAAGAAGGTGTCACTCATGTACAAAAATATTTACAGATCAATTAATACATCAACTTACCCAAAATCATCTCACCCATTGAGATTATGACCCAACATTAGAGCACCAAAAGTATGTATCTATCTATATTAATTTTGGAGAAATCCCTCACACACCCATCAAATGCTCTATTGTTCCTTTCTTTTCCACACAACCCCCAAAAATGATTAGAGGTATAAGCTTTACACCCATCAAATACTCTCTTGCGAGCAATACTAATTGTTGGCTTATTGTCGCAGTAGAGTCTCATAGGTTTATCCCACTATATCTCAAGTCTTCTAAAATCATTTTCAACCATAGAAGTTTACACACCCCTTGATACATAACCTTAAACTCTAACTCTACACTAAATTGGGCTAACATATTCTGCTTCTTACTTCTAATAAGTCACTAGATTCCATTAGAGAAAAGTACAATATCTAGAAATAGATCTCCAATCAACTAACAATCCTACATAGTCCGTATCAGTGTATGCTTCAATAAGCAGCCCATTTTTTCTTTTGAACATAATTTCCTTCCTCGAAGTACCCTTCAAGTAATGGAGTATCCTGTAGGCAGCTTGTAGGTGCACTTCGGGCTTGTGCATGAATTGGCTCACCATACTAATTACATATGCAATGTTTGTTCTGGCATATGACGAGTATATTAATTTTCCCACTAGTTCCTAGTACCTTTCTGTATCCACATATGCGTCTTCTTCTGGCAATCCCAAGTTTATGATTGGGATCAATCAATGTGCTAGCAGGCATGCATGCTAGTTTGTCAGTTTCCTTCAAAAGGTTTTTGACATATTTTTACTGTGAGATAAATACTTTAAACTTTGAGTAGGCTACTTCCATCCTGAGGAAATATTTTAATTTCTCCAATTCTTTAATCTCGAACACTAGCTAGTCATTGCTTGAGGACCACCTTTTTTCTTGCATCATTCTCTATAAGAATTATATAATCTACATATACCAGAAGTGCTATGACTCCCTTGACTCTAAGTGCTCAATGAATAGGGTGTGATCTCTCTAACTCTGCTTGTATCTCATGGATAGCATTACTTTTGCAAATCTTCCCAAACCATGCCTGAGGGTATTGTTCAAGCCCATACAATGTGTTTTTTTTTTAGTTTATATATCTTGTTCATTCCTACTCCCTTAGCAAACACAGGGAGAATTTCCATGTAAATTTCTTCTTCCAATTTCCCATGTTAAAAAACATTCTTAACATCAAACTGCTACAATTGCCAATTGAAGTTAGCTACTAAGGATAATAAGATACATATCGTATTCATTTTTGCAACGGGTACAAATGTCTCTTAATAGTCAATCCTGTAGGTCTGTATACTCTTTAGCCACTTATCTTGCATTGTACCTCTCTATGTTCCATGGGATTTGTACTTAATAGTGAACACCCACTTACACCCAACTGGTCTCTTTCCCTTAGGCTAGTCTACCACTTCTTAATTCTTTTCAAGTGTGTGCATTTAAATATTCCTACCATTTTTCTATTCACCACACTTTAAAGTTTAAGATAATGTTTTAGGGATGGATATTGCATTTAAACTCATGAGAAAATTATTGTGCAATGGTCAAAATTTTTCAAAAGAGACAAAATTTGAGATGGGTAGTGTTATGTTTACTAGTTAAGGATCGTGTTACCGGATAATTAACAACAAACTCGTTTTCTAACAAGGGGTTAACACCCTTATTCTTATTGCGAGAGCGACGTATTTTGTGAAAATAAAATTTAGGTCATCAAAGATAGCTGCTACCTTGGATCTCATTAGAGAGAGCTCCAATCTCGTAGTTTAAAATAATATTCTGATTTATCATTATTAATAACAAGCATATGCCTTTATATAGAGTTTACAATTTTTATTTAGGAATCTTAATTTAATTAAGAATTTAAATTTAATTAACAATACTCTACTAAAATACTAGAAATCCTATATTATTTAGGAATCCAATATTAATGAAAAATTATATACTACTTAGAAATTTAATACTAATTAATATTCCATGTTTACTATTTAGAAATCTAATACTATTTAAAATTTCATATTTAATTGAACTTCAACACCCTAATTAGGTCTTATAAATCCATCTATAACATTACTCCCCCCGGTCCTCAAGCTTGAAATGTAGACATAGCTGATTTGTTAGTTTTTTCTTATTGCTCAGGACCAGTGTCGCGCTCAATTTCAAGCCAGAACAACCGTTTACATTAGTGACCCGAACCAAATGGTTCACCACAGTTATAACACAACCCTTTCAGTCTCCTTTCTGTCATCTCTACTCTTATTAGTTTCTTTATAAATGGAGAAGTGTTACCAGATTGTGTCGTAACCTTGTTACCCTATAAAGTCAGTGTTTTCTAAACTAAATTGTTAGATTTGGTCACAGACTAACAAAGGTCACTAAATTGTATTCGGTCATATTCTACAACTGTTGTTTCTTTTCAAAAGTTCTGATCATGCTCATTGCATGCATTAGAGTGGTGGGCGATTGCATCTCGACCTCTAAACAGAGAGAATAAATCACTTTTGTTGTAAACAAATTGACTTGTTGATCACAACGTACTGTAGAGGCTCGGGCCAACAGCCTTTAAAACTATCATTGATACTCCTCAACCGAGTCCGTTTTCTTAAAGTTAACTAATTTGCACAATGGGTTGTTTTACAGGGGCGGTCCAAACTGTAAGATGCAATACTCCACGAATATTTCTCATGCCATGTTCGGCTCTTCCTACTATAACATATAGTACCAAAGTTGGGTTTCTCCTAACATGTAAAAAGTTGCCAAACTAACCTTGTTGGAAGCGACGGTCTGCTGATTAGTAAAAAATTGTCTGCATCGATTGAGTCAAATCAAATGATCTTTTGTACCATCGTAGGTCGGCAAATCCAATTTGGTGTAGTGTGGGATAATTCCTCTTTTTGCTACCTCTGTGTTTGCAGTGCACGATTCCGGCTGGTTGTCAACATGACTGAATTGAATTGTGTGGCTATTGTCGGCTTCTATTCCGCCCTCTAAATCTCTGTCGCGCAACTAGGTGGCTATCTGAAGAAGAGTCTCCATCTGTTGAGACAGCTGCCACAACTTAGCATCCATTCGGGCCTCCGATTCAATTATAAGATTTTTCAATTTCTCACGCAATCCTTCCTCGCCTATGTTGTCTAGCTCTGACAACAAATTATTGTTTCCTGGTTAAAAATCGAATCATCGGGCGATTAACAGCAAAGTCATCTTCTAACAAAAAGTTAACACTCTTATTCTTATTGCGATAGCGACCTATTTTGTGAAAATAGATTACAGCTCATTAGAGAGCTCAAATTTTATAATTTAAAATAATATTCTAACTTATCTTTATTAATAACAAGTATACCCATTTATGTAGCTATTACAATTTTTATTTAGAAATCTTAATTTATTAAGAAATCTAAATGTAATTAAGAATACTCTAGTAAAATATTGAAAATCCTATATTATTTAGGAATCCAATATTAATGGGAAATAATATACTATTTAGAAATCTAATAATAATTAAGATTTCATGTTTACTACTTAGAAATCCAATATTAATTAGCATTTCATATTTAATTGAACTTTAACATCCTATTTAGATCTTATAAATCCATCCATAACAGGTAGAATGAATGCTTAGTGCATTATCTTGTCCCTCTTCTAAGTATACAAGCGCAATATCATAAAAAAGGTGATTCTCGATGCTTACCTCATTTTCAACATTCAGTTCGGATTCTTGAACTTACTTTGAATCAAAATCCAATTTTGTTTCTTGAATACACCTGAAAAAAGTGTTGGTCTTATATGGATTGAGTTTCAGGCTCATTTTATAAGGCTTGAGGTTCAAACTTATTTTGTGTGCTTTGGTTTTCTTGCTTATCTCAAAAAAACAAAAAGTGGGCTTTGGTTTCCTAGTGACGTAGTTGTTTTAGAGAGTGTAGTGTTTAAAGGTAAGAGAGAAATGTCAAAGAACGAGTTCTCCTTATTTTCAGTATAATCTCTCCTTGGAGAAAAGGATGAGTAAGAAATGACTTGGTTTCAACAAAGGTAACATCAGCAAATACATAAAACTTTCGGATAAATGGATAATGACATTTGTATCCTTTTATGTTGATGAGTATCCAAAAAAAGACAAATTTGATGGCTCTAGGGTCAAGTTTCCCTCTTTGAAACCGATGTATGTGAAATAAGAAACACACCTAAAGACATGAAAGATTGAGGTTATTAGTGACTCTAACCTCAGGAAAGAATATAGCTTGAACTTCCATAGGACTGCAGAAGTCTAGTACTCCACATGATAATCGGTTGATAAGATAAGTAGCAATTAAAATAACTTCCCACCAATAGTGTTTGGGTACATAGTTTTGGAACAAGAAGGCATGTAAAGTGATGAGCAAGTGGCTATTTATCATTTCAACTACTGTGTCTTGTTGTGGAGCATAGACACAGAATGACTCGTGAACAATTCCTTTCTTTTTAAAGGAGGATAATGTCTGGTTAAAATAGTCAGAGACGTTATCAAAGTGAAAACATTTAATTGGTAACTCGAACTGTGTAATTAATCATAATGTGGAACTGGGAAATAATATGACTTAATTTAAAATTCCAATAAGAAAGCCAAGTGACCTGAATACAATCATCAATAAAAAAAACAAACCATCGGACCTTAGAAATATTATGAATATTTGAGTCTCTCCAAATATCACTATGAAACAAATGAAAAGAAAAATTCTCTTTTATTATTAAGAGGAAAAGGTACACATTTTTGTTTTGCCAATTCACATCCACCACAATTAAATTTCTATTATTGACATCCAAGAACCAAGAGGGAAACACAACTTTAACGATGGAGAATGATGGGTGACCTAACCTTCTGTGATAGAGTCATATCTTATCAAGGGTGATAGTGGAAATGACATTCATGGTATCTCAGGTGCATCTAGGAAGTATAACTCATCCCGAGTCTCATCATGTCTAATCTTTTTCCCCTGAGTTCTGGTCCTCAAAAAGAGAAGAAGAAAAAATCACTAACAATTGAGGTCTTGTGATAGCTTGGTTATTTATATCATATTGGTACCCAATTTCGAGATATGTAATAAGTGCAAAGTGATAGTCAAACTTTATGATTCCAACTCCTACTACTATGGTTAGTGAACTATCGGCAATAATGATTTTTTTATTGTTGGGCATGGGGCACAAGTGCTGAGAAATTAAGTGGAGTTGATCATATGGATTGTGCCTCCTGAGTATACAACTCATGGTAATACGAAAAACTTATATGAGGTATTTAAACCATAAGAGATAGAAAACGTACCTGAATGAGCAAAGTAACTGGTACCTTCTGATGTAACCTTCGACATGAGTTGGTGTTTTTAGGCAATTGAGGCCAATTAAATAAAATAAAGTTAGGGTTTACCAACTCCCTAGAACACAACTCCTTGTTTGAACGAGCTATCCGCAGATAGCGGCGCACGCAGCAGCACAGGATAGGAAAAAAAGCATAACAGGGTAGCAAAGTGAGTAACAGAGCGAGCAGCGGAGCAGGAAACAGATCAGAACAAGAAACAGAGCCGAAGAGAGCAGCTGGCACCGAAAACAGAGCTGCTGACACGAGAAACAAAGCACCCACGAAGCAGAGCACACAATAACAGGGCACTCGGAAACAAAGGCCACTGAGCAAGCCAGAAACAGAGTGCAGGCTGTTGTGGCTGTTTGCATGCAGAAACAAGAGCGGCTGAACAGGCCAGTTCAGGCAATCAAGGTCGGTTTCAGGTTTAGGGTTTATTTCGGCAACTAAGGCCTGTTTAGGGTTTGAAAGCTAAAGAAAATTTTTTTCCTTTTTCTCTTATGGCTTCGATACTTATGTGGAAGAATAGAATGTTTTTTCATTAAATATTAGGATCCTATATATACAAATGAATAACAACAATGCAAAGAAACAATATTAATTACGAAGATTACAAAGACCATGTTTTTTACTAATATACCCTTTGCCCTAATATTACTCTGACATACACTTCTAAGCATCTTATAGCAGTTATTTCTGGAAAGAGGTGATTATCGCTAAATACGAGTTAGGCAAAAGGCTTGGAAATTTTGCCAGGAGTAGCTAGATTTATGGTCCTAGTCTTTAGAAGTGGATTAGCAAGGGTTGTAGCTAATTCTTTGACTTGTCATTGTTTAGACTTGGTGAAAGTCAAGTTTTAAGCTTTTTGGTCGATAACTGTTGCAAGGCTAGACCACTCAAGAATGAGATTTTATAGTGTTTCTCTATTGCAAGGGATAAGGACTTTATAGTTAGCAATTTGTGGTCAAAATGGTTCCTCACCTCCTATGTCGGACATCCAGCTCCCATAGAATCTCAATGACTGGGAGATTAACATGTCTTCCCTTGTGAATCTTCTTAAGTCCTGCCATTTTGATCCTAGTGAATGCAATCTCCCTAGGCAGCCCTATACCAAGGACGGGATGTTCTCTTTGACATCCTTTTATGAAATTTTTTCTCACATTATTAGCTACCTGCAAAGTTCCCATGGAAACGGAGTTGGAAGAAAAAAGTCCCCACCTATGTGGCTTTCTTCGCCTGTGAGCCCACTTGGAACAAAATCTTATCTTTAAATAACTTAAGGAAGCAGGTAGACCAATTGTTAATGGATGCCCAATGTGTTTGCAAGATGATGAATCCCCTATCATCCCCTCTATGGTTTGTGGAGGGTAGAAGGCTATGGGTTTTGTCTTTGTCCCTCCTAAATTTGTCTTGGGCAGTCAACAGTTCGATTGTGGATTAATTATTGGTTTCAAATGGCATTAGAATGTGCAAGTCCAGAAGAAAAATTGTCTCTCTTCTCCTTGGTTGTCATGTGAGTCATTTACAAGGAAAGAAACAAGATGACTTTCCCTAACATTAAATTTTATTTCACTAACATCAGAGATATGTGATTCCAGATCTCGAGAAGTTTGTTGAATGGCAGCCTATTTTATTTGAAGAGAATTTTGTGAAATTCTTAGATATTTTGTTTTCTTGACTTTCATATAGTTTGTGCAGTTGAGTCGCATGCCTTTGGTGCACTATGAATATGATTCACTCCATTTTCTTCTCAAAACAGAAAACAAGATAAGAGATGGAAATTACCATCCAGCGTTGGAATTGTCAACTTATGACCAAGAACCCTGCTATAGCACAAAAGATCCCACACTTGTATAATCCCATCAATATGAAGCACAAAAAGAAGTTTTTTCTCCTGCACCTCCGATATCACCAAATCTTGAACAGCCCCTGCCATCCTACCCCTGAATAACATGTTCACTGAATTTTGTTAAATTGTATACTTTAGATATTATTGCATAAGCAACATCAGGAACAAAGAAAGGAAAATGGCAAAGAAATTCCTTTTATGGCAAAGAAATTCCTTTTTATGGAAAAAGAAATATTACTAGGGAGAAGAAATAAAAGTACACAACCAAACAAGAGCTCCTTATGAAAAGAAACTAAGAAAAAGGAAAAAAAAAAAACTACATAAAAATAATAAAGGATCCTCTTTGCATGGTAGATAAAGAACTTCCTTAACAAAGTAGTGAGCCTTAGCTCACAAAGTGGCAGAAACGGCCAATCTATCCCACAAAAAGGACACATTAATTGGTCTTTGAAGATTCTCAAGTTTTACTCCAACCACAACACCCACAAAACAAACCAAAAAAAGCAACACACATTTAAACTCCTTTCTCTTAATCTCACCACTCAAGTGAATTTAAAAGCTTCCAGAGTAGATGAAACAACACACATCTCCCCAAGTACTGAAAGAGCATAACTACCAAGCCACCTCACAATGTAAGAACAAACGGTTATTTATCTGCAAAAAATCTAGTAATGCATCACACAAATATCAGGAGAGAGAGCTTACTTCGATCTTTGCATATGCAACAAATCTTATCATTGACATGATCAAGTACAGAATTGTGTCTGGAACAAATTGTTACTATTATTGCCCCAGTACCAAGGGAGAGATCGAAGATCATCTGCTGAAGACAGGAATCATGGGACAGCTATTGTAAGCCAAAAGATAGTTTGAGTATTGAGAATCTAGACTTATAATATTGGCTTAGAGGCTAATTGGTAATGATGTTCTTTTGGCTTTATGACACAGAGGGTAAAGAGCAAGTATGGCCTTCACTAAAATGGGTGGGCAGGATACCAAACATAGGCTAATTGGTAATGATGTTCTTTTGGCTTTATGACACAGAGGGTAAAGAGCAAGTATGGCCTTCACTAAAATGGGTGGGCAGGATACCAAACATAGAATTAACATGACCCAGAAAAGCCTCTAGAAGTTCATCTCTCATGTACATTCCTCTCTTTGTCCTTTGCTTCATTTAAGGTATGGGTAGATTCCCGTTCCTATCATGGTAAGATCCTTGGTTAGCCACTTTCTTTTCTCTTTATTATTCCCAACTTTATATATATGTTATGTCACTACAGTCCTGTATCTTTCTTTTATTCTTTATGATTTACCAAGATTCTCAATTTCTTAGGACTTTTGCAAGCTTGACAATAGAGAGACCTCTTTATTAGTATTATTGGATATCACAAAAAAGTAGCTCTCTCTCCTTATATTTGCGTGATGTGTTGCTAGAGTTGGATACATATAATGAAGTGAAGCATGTTCTAAAAGTGCTTGTATCAAGTAAAACTTCTCATCATCTCAAATAATACAAGGAATAGTTTTATTATCTCAGCTCATAGAGCATAACTAAAATGCCCGGATGCATCAGTAAGTTAAAGTTCCACCTTTATCCTTCTTTTTCCTTCTTGAGCAAATTTCTTTTCCATTGGCACAAAGGATGCACATTCACCTTCGGTTGTTACTTCAAAAGCCTATTCCTTAGTAAATAAAATGCTGCCTAATCAGCTTTCAATTAAAAGATGTAAGGTATACCTTGACACAAGGCCCCACAATCGACCAATTGCTGAATGATCCCGCAGCTCATGGACAAAACCTGAGGAGAAAAAGGTGAGAAACATATCTGTCAAGAAGCTTATTTCAAAAAAAATTATATCTGTAAAGAAGCTAAAACAAATTAGAAAAGAAAGATGGAGAATAAAGCACACCAGAAGCAGTTTGGTGAAGCGTGCCAAGTTGGAAACAAGCAACAGATCCATCACCCCTCCCAACAACAAGACATCCCGGCATTGCTGTGACACTTGTAACAGGCTCATAATTGGAATAAGCTGGAAGATTGACCTCCACAAAATCATCTTGTGGGAAAACAGAACAAGATGCATAGGCAGAAATGCTTGAAAGTTTAAGCAGGTAAGCAACTCCCGTCACAGTTAACGCATAAAGTGAGCAGAAGTTCCTTGAAGTGCTACCTATCTGCAACAGATGCATAAAAAGAAAATAATTGGTAATCCTAAAAGTAAGTCATTATGGGAGAGGTAATTAACAAAGTATCTAAAAGGCTAGAGTGCCGGAAAGGGGACTTGTTCTCTTTGGGGGATAAAGGCACTTTAATACAGACATGTTTGTCTAGCATACTATTTTATTACTAATTCTTTTTTAGATAATAGGAGAAGTGAAAGAGTGGAAGGAATTATGAGGAAGTTTCAATGAGCTGGAGCATGGAAGCAATATAGAGATCGTTAGTAAACTAGGAACTATGTTATTAGTCTAAAACTTTTTTTTGAAAATAAAATATGAAATTATATTCACAGCTACCAAAAGGGTGCAACTAGTGTACAATTGTCAGTCCAAAACTTATGATGACTTGGGCATCAGGAACTCAATATCAAAAAAATTAGCTTTATTGATTAAATAGCTACAGCATTTTTCCACAGAAACCTAGTTCTTGTGGCATAACGAGATCAAGATCATTCATGATAATCATAGAAATGGATGGGACGTTGTAACAGGAAGCCCCATCTCACACAAAAGCCCATGAAAGGCCATTTCCCAATTGCAACACCTCTACCTTCCTCTTACAAGACATAGAGTGGAAGATAGCTCAAGAATGTTGTCTTGGAGTATCACTGGAAGATAGCTCAACCTTCTCTTACAGACATAAAGTGAGATAGCCATGAAGCCATTTCCCGATTGCACACTCTATCTTC